TTGGTTTTGTTATTGTGGTGACTTCAGAACGAAGAGCTGAATCTATTGAAGTGATTAATTAAATGATTATTTCTTCGTATGCATACGATTGTTCGTTAAAATTTCAGGGGCCGATTAACGCGTTAGCGTTAGAATTTTTTTTTTGGGTTGGGGGGAGGGAGTTTCTTTCCTCTTGTGCGGTTTTGGGCCTTCTTCTACAACTTATTGTTCACTACAGGAATTTTAAGCTTATTTTCATCAAAAAAGACCCTCTAGCGCCAAAACGGTTAGAGAAAGAGCCAAACGGACGACATTTTCGCTCGAAGGGCTCTACTTTGACAAGTTACCCCTTAGGAGACCATCCAATATTTTCAGAAATTAATAAATTTATTTTTGGGCCACTTTTGTGAGAGAAACTCCCTCTAGCGCCCAAACGGTAGAAGATAGAGCAAAACGGACAAAATTTTTGCCCAGAGGGCTCTACTTTGACGAGTTACCCCTTAGGAGATTATAAGAAAAATATGTTTTTCTGACTTTTTGACCTACCTTATTTTTTTTTTTGATACCCCCTTTTAGCCCTTTAGGGATGGTTGCCAGGATTTGCCGTAGGCGTTTCGTTCTCTAGGAGTGGACATTAAGATACCCTGAAAATGTCAAGTCTCTAGCACATCTCCTTCTAGTGGAACAGACAGACAGACACACAGACACACAGACAGACAGACAGACACACACGAGGTCGTTTGCATAAGCCCGCTGAATAGCTTTTACAAAGCAGAAGGGCGGGCTAAAAACACAGATCGAGTTCAAAGATTAGCATTCCAGCTCAAAAATTGGATAAAACAAAAATCAAAAACAACAGGTCCAAAAAATTACGTTTTGTTAGAATAATCTTTTTATCGTTATATAGGGGGTAACTCATCAAAGTAGAGCCCTCTAGACGAAAATTTTGTCCGTTTTACTCTAGCTCGAACCAATGAGGCTCTAGAGGGTAATTTTGACGTAAATAAGCAAAAACGCTGTACGAAAAAACCGATGTACAACCATGCATGCTTAGTCGAGGTGACGGGCCGTTGACATGCCATAGGCCCGTATATTCACGTACATTTTTCCAGTACCCGACTTGGGTGTCAGCGCCGCAAGCCAAGGTAGATGTATGCCGGGCGCGTCACAGTGTTACAGTGTTTCGTGAGATATCGTGAAGCCTGTCACGCGAGACGTGGGCGTACATCTACCTTGGTTTGAAACACAACGGGACGTGTCAAGACAACCGTGGGATCGCGGCCCGCAACAAAGGCGGATGTGCGAGCCAATCGGGTCACGACGCGTGAACATCGACGCATGTACCTACGCCACCGACTCGAGATCTGTCAGCGCGCATCTTTACCCCCTTACCCCCGGTACAGGATCCCTTGGGGCATGGTACCGGGGGTACAGCTACACTAGAGTGCACTCACCTCCGGTAAAAAAACCCTAGCCTAGGGGTAGTATACCCCCTCCAAGGGGGGGGGGGGTAATATTTCCCTAGGGAAATTTTACCGGGGGTAACTGTGCACCAGTGTTTATGTTCCCCCCTGAGTTGTTCAACATTACCCAAGGAACTGTATACCCCCGGTAAGAAATTACTAGAGTGCCGTTGCCCCCTCCCAGCAGAGGGGGGTAAATTATTCCTAGGATTAGTTAACCCCACGGTAAAAATTCCCTAGGGGAATCATACTTCAGACTAGGGGGGGAAATTATCCCTAGGGTTATTTTACCCCCCGGTAAGAAATCCCTAGGGGAATCATACCCCCACCGGACGAGGGGGGTAAATTGACGCTAGGAGTATTTTATCCCCGGTAAGAAATTTCTAGGGGAATCATACCTCCACCGGACGAGGGAAGTAAATTGACGCTAGGAAAATTTTACCACCCGGTTAGATATTCCTAGGGGAATCGTACCCCTCTTTAGCCCGCTCTTTTGCTTAAAAGCTATATAAAGCGGGCTTATGCCATCGCCCTTGTGTCTGTCAGTATGTCTGTCTGTCCGTTCCTCAAGAAGGACGTGAGCTACAGGTGTGAAATTTTCAGGGTATTATTGTTGTCACTTTTGGACAACGAAACGGTTGATGCAAATCCTGGCAACCACCCCTGAGTGGGTCTGAGGTAGGCTTCGAGAGCAATAGTAAATTTCGAAAAATTTTGATTAAAAAACTAGTAAATTACGGTAAATAACTTTGCCCTCAAAGTAATTTAATTTAAGAATTGTCGGAAATAAGACTTTATTTTGCTCATTAGTTACACTTTTGCCGTATTTTCGCATGGAGGTGGCTGTTCTGCTTATCCAGGCCATATGGCCGCAAAATTTTGATGAAATAACTGACACGTTCTACCATTTCGAGCGGACGATTTTTGTTCTAATTTGCTCAGAGCTTTTCACGTTTTGTACAGGTTTTGGGCTTCAATGCTTCATGAACAATGCAGACAACTACAAAAATTTCAAGTTCTCGTCGTAATTGTGCACAGAGGGGCGACATTAATACTTTATGTGACCACAGCTAGGCCAGACGTAAGACCTCACTAATGTACAAAGACAAACAGAATGAAACGTTTTCGGCCCGGCCCCTTTCGAACGGAGTCGCTGGCGCAGCGAAGTGGAGCTGGCAACTACGTTTGGTAGAAGGGCGGGTTTGCTTGCCTCTTTTCTATAGCTATTAGTGCAAGTAGCTGATTGGCGCAAATTCTGGTCAAAACCTAGTTTTTGATTTAATATCAGGAACCAAACTAACCAAACAGAAGTCAAAAAGTATTCTTTTACTGTCATCATAGTAGCTAGTCTTTTTGTAGCTGTACATTATATCCTGATCAAATCAGGTCCAGAAAAAAATACCATTGCGAAACACAAATAATACGATGAAGAGAGCTTCACCTGCTCTCGGGGGGCATGCAGGAACTCTGGGCGGCCTGCCTTCGCAGTGTGCCCGGCACGAGAGCTGTGAGGACGGACCCAAGGCAAAGGGCAGCACAAAGAGAGGCATTAACCCACAGGTGAGCACCCGTTGCGTTGTCAACCTCAAGTGGCAGGCCACACAGCTCAGAAAAGATTAATCCGAACACCTAGAAAACAGACAGCGTGGGTAAAAAGATACAAGGTTCATTCACATATTAGATTATTTTCTTCGCGAACACTAATACAAGCTCAGGCCCAGGTTTCAACCGTATCACAAGGATTTTGTTGTAAATCAGCTGCTAATTCTTAGTTAATTTTGTTCTACGAACTTGTTTGTTGAAACAGAACATGTTAAACCGGAAGTTTACAAACTGCACCAAACTTAAGAATACAACATTGATTGTGAATTTCGGAACTGTTAGTGAAATGAAATAGGAACCCAACCTATAATTTCACAAGGGATGTTTCTGGGTTTATGAACCCAAAAAAGATTTTATAGACTTCTCGTTCACTTATGGCCGGCCTATGAGGGAAATTCCTACATTTTTTGAGGAGTCTCCCTTCAAATACAAGGAGTGTGTCCTCAAATATGAGACTTCCTCAAAGTGTTTCCTTTCCCCTCAAAATCAGGAGTCGATTTTACCATGTACCATATTGCTTCTTAAAACGATTTCGACAGGTCTCATTGTTGTTGCACTCCTTAAAAATAAAATCTTTGGCGTTGTTCTTCGAAACACAATCTACCCAAAAAATTGTATTCTCAAAATAAGTTTTTGCATTTCATTATTTCTTTGATTTGCTTCCTCGATTTCAAGACATTTCCTGTAATGCAGTGGGAAGCGTTTACATTACCTGAGCAGACACGTTAAGAAGTCCGGCTGAAGTGCCTTCGGGCTCTGGGTAGGTGAGCTCTGCAGCCAGTTCAAATCCTAAAGGAAGATATCCTGTAAGAAAAAACCTTTATGGAAAATTAGATAGCACTTTAACCAGCTCTTTTCTTTCTGATGCACCACCTGCAATGTTTTACCCAAGGAAAGAGCCCGAAATGTAGAGCATCCATATTGAAGACGAGTAAAAGGATGCCGCAAACGCAATCATCCCGCCAAATGAGAGCAGATAAATACTAAGTGTCACTTCTCTGCAATCAAAAGGGGAAAAACATCAGGAACAGGTCATGGTCGGTTTACAGTCATGAAATTTGATGACATCCAAAAACGTAAAATTTAAGGGAGGGTAGGGCAGTGTGTAACGGCTGTAAATGTCAATCTATGTAAAAATCTAGAGTAAATCGGACGCAGAATAATAGATTGGGACTTTACCAATCCTAAAAGTTGCTCGGATGTAATACTCGGCCCAATCATGTATGACCTAGAGCTTGATCAACAAAGGTCTGCATTTGTTACAGACTGCCCCGCCCCGAGGCAGTGTCTAACGACAGTGGGGCAATGTGTAACAAAGGGAAGGATTGAGTTCTGGAGACAGCTAGAAAAGGAGAATACAGCACCGTCTTCCTTTCTATAATAACTTCCGAGAGGGCAATAACTCCCTTTTGTTGTGAACACATGATTCCCAAAATAATTTATTCCCAGTGATTACCGCACAGTTAAATATTTTTGGAGGGATTCACAAAAAAAGTCTAAGCGTACTTAGTGCTAATACATTGTCTTGTAAAATTACTATAGTCTGTAAAATTAAAGAACAGTAGTAACACAGATTCCGGTTATTATATGGTTATCATTTTCCCATGATATACTGGTAAATTTACAGGTCCGCTCTGTAAAAGTTTTATGATAATACATGAAAAGTGTGGTAATTCGAGAAAAGAAAAAGATATTTCGTTCGTCTCTGAGTTTCCGGAGGTCTTTGCCCTTTGCCTCCTTTCCTTACCTACCTACCTCACCGTGTTATACAAGCAACAAAGTAAGCATTAAAGCGAATAACCCATTACCTTGACCCGGCGGGGCGGGAGTTGAACCTCGGACGACTGTGTTGCTAACCCAGCACGCTAACCACTAGACCACTGGGGCTTGAAGGGAGGGATGCTCGACTGTCCCCGTGTGACTCGACAGCCGGGTGACGGGTGACCGTAGCCGACCCGACCGGCCAACAGCGAGTCTGGCTTGGGGATTTTGAGACCCGGCAGGTACACGGCATATCACGCGTCACGCCACGGCCCTCAAAGCATTAATTTCAAATTCCCGTTGGTATTACCCATTTCAATTGTTTGAAGAACACACTAAGATGAGTGTAGTTTTAACTGACTAATAACTTCCTCTCACGCCGCCACCGACAGGGCTCGTGTAAGTGTCGGGTCAGTTTCTAGGCACTACCGGAGTCCTCTCCTTGCTTTTTACTCAAACCCGAGCCTAATAATCGAATGCACAGGTCTAGAATTTACTGTGTTGATCTGTAAATGTTGGTATAAAAAATCTTTCAAACAGCACGTGCTAACGCGCAACCGTATGCTGGGTTCTGAGAAAGCATTGCTTTCTGTTATACAGATCGATACAGCGTTTTTACAGAAATTTACTGGAAGTGAATCGTACAGGCCTAGTGGTTCTCCATGTCTTCTGTAATATTTCAGAAGAAATGTCGTACTATTACAGCCATTTGTAAAATAACCACACATCATGGGGGAAATTACAGGGTTTCGATAATTTTACTAATATACTTTTCAGTAAAATTACAAAACTTGTAAATTTACAGAAAACATGTAGTAAATTTACCATACTCTGTAAAATTACCATAATATTTCTGTACCAGATTACATGTTTACTCTTGTAAAGTTACAATACATGTATACTCTTGAAAAGTTTCATTTTTTTTTTACTGTGCGTCCGCTTCTATTTAGTCCTAACGTTTTTTTATTGGGTAGTAAACGCGTATTTCGACTTATTTGTACCAGTTAAACTAGATTCCCGCTTACTCTGTAAAAAATAATAGTGTTTTTACGGATAATTCGTGTAATCCATTACAGACATGGTGGTGCGTGATTTTACAGAAGATGTTAGTTTTACCGAAATTCTATTGTAAAATTACAAGTACCTGTAAAATTACAGATTTTCGATCGTTTTTGCGAAAACTACTGTAAATTAACAAGCGTCTGTAAAACTCCCAACACACTCTCGTAATTTTACAGGTATTAGTAAAATTACAGATGCTCTGTAATGTAGTTTTTCAGATACTTTCTGTATATTTTCGAACACATAATAAATACGGTTCAAATTGGCCACAAAATTTGTCCAAAGTGCATTCAAACAGCGAACAGCGGAAAAAATAACTATTTTGTGGATATCAACGAACCAACATTAGAAGAGAGCGCAGCTTACTGGAGGAAAAGTCGCGTGGACAGTAGAAAGCATGAGATGGAGTACAGACGGACTACGTGCACAGAGCGCGCCGTAGCGCAATGGACAAGGCATCGGGCTCACGACCAGAAGGTCGGGGGTTCGATTCCACCAAGAGTTCGAGCGGTTCAACCAGTTTTTCCAAAGGAATCTGTCACCGGTTGACTATATGAAATAAAAAAAAACAAAATAAAACCGCCGCTGAAAACAATTTTTTGTTGCATATTTTACCTCAGAAAAATGTGGGTAAGAAATTACAGGAAACATCCGTAAACATTTTCACAGAAATATTTGGTATCAGTTTTACCGAAATTTTGTGCAGTTAATTTTACAAGTGTTCTGTAACTTTACAAGCAGTGGTAATTTTACCAGACTTTCACTTGGCAACCAGTATACCTAGACTTTTTCTGTAAAATCTCGATACCCCCTATGTAAAACCGCTCACCGCCACGGTAGCTGCGGACAAACTCTCATCTCACTTCCCGCCTGCGGACAACCGCTTACCTAGCTTGGCGCTCCGAATAACCGCTTAAGTCGCTTTTTCAGCGAAAACGTAATATTCGTATCATTCGAAAGTGAATTTCCGCCTCTTTCGAATGATACCAATATAATAATAATTGAAGGCTAAGAGACATGTTGTTACGTTTTCACTTGCATGGCTGAGCGAGCGTACACCTAGACTTACATTGCCCCGAAAACGTCGAGGGAGATAATCTTACTTATACTTCCGCGTGACGTCCAGTAGAAGTCCGCAGAGCAAAGAGCCCAGAAGGCCAGCAACTACGATCAGGAGGCCAATGTTACCTGCATCCGTACTGTTCTGCAAACGGTAATCGTACTAGGGTTAGAGCAGTGAGTATCTGGGATACTAGGCGAGTTCCCGCCCGCCAGATCGGCGCCTTACGCCTTAAGCAGGTGGGCTTACCCGACCACGGATGTGACGTAGCCTTGGCACACGTAAACCTATTTGCAACAACAGCTTTCATATTAACTGTAAATTTCTACTGTAAAATGGTTGGCGTCTTTTGACGCCAAAATATTGGCGTCCTCTGACGAACGCCAAATATTAGCTTCCAAACAAGGGGAAATAGGCTTCAAAAATTTGTACACCCGAAGTCGAAGTTCATGAACTTCGGCCGAAGTTCACTAAAGTTCGCTTTGTAAAATTTTATCGAAGATCACTGAAATTCTCCGAAGTTCACCGAAATCGATCGAAATTAACGGAGTTCATCGAATTCCAAAATAAGCGTCGAAGTTCCGCGAAGTTCAAAATGAATGTCGAAGTTTCCCAAAGTTCAAAATAAATGTCGAAGTTCCCCAAAGTTCAAAATAAGTGTCGAAGTTCCCCGAAGTTCAAAATAAATCTTCGAAGTTCACGGAAGTTCAAAATATTTTAGTACATATTTACGTCTGCACTTAGCAATTTTGTGTGCTTACTGTAAGCGAATCTCGAGCTTACTCAAAGCAGGTATCTACGGCCCGAATTACAAAGATTACAGATGAACAATTTTGCTTTTATATCCCTTGACCAGGCCGAAGTGCGAGAACTTCGGTTGAAGTTCCGCGAAAGTCACCGAAGTTCACCGAAGTTCTCGCAGTTCACCGAAGTTCAAGCCTATTTCCCCTCGCGTCCAAGGACGCCAAATTTGGACGTTTAAAGACACCAATAGTTGGCGTTCTCAGAAGGCCGTGTTAAAAAATGAGCTGATCCGAGGATGCTGTTAAGGGGGCAGTAGCACTTCGAGACGGATTTGAACAAATTTAAGGTAGTTGTTGTTCTAAAATTCGCAGTTTTCATCGGAAAATTTGTATCCTAGTTCATTCCACTGAGTCTTATGTACTAACAAAGAAAAACTATACGGGATCACGATCTGTCAAGTACTGTAGCTTAAATGGTGCGCGCAAGCTATCTTAAAAAATTTCCTGGGATAAAAATTTTCCGATGAAAACTACGGATTTTAGATGATTAACTCTCCTCAAATTTGTTAAAATCCGCCTCGGAGTGCTACTGCCCCCTTAACTAATAATTTACTGATGTACAGCTGCGTGGAGCTGACGTTAAATGAAACTAAACTACTTTAAGCTGTTCCGAAGCTGATCAAACTGACTGTTAACTGACTTTACCAAACTCGAAGCCAACCTGGGACTGACGTCTTTACGCTCACGTGTAGAAATCCTGACAAAACTGAGAGTAACTGAACTAGTAAGTGAAATATGACTGAACGTCAGCTGCGTCGCGCTGACCATCTCTTGAGGTTACTGATAGTAACTGATCGGGTAACTGATGTAGTACTGAGCGGACCTGACGCTGGCTGAGTTTAGAAACTCAGCGTGACTCAGCAACGGTACAGCTTTCCGCAGTACATTTTTGCTACTGAGTAGAACTGACTAACACCTGATTCGGGGAGCTGATAGCGGTTCAGTCCACGATCAGGTAACGGCAGTGATCATCTGTCCTGAATCGAACTGCTGTTTGCTGAGTCGTGTCTACTGAGCCACTCAGCTGACCTCCAGCCAAAGGCAGTCAGAGCAGAAGCTGAACTGCGACTGACGCCAACTGATTGGAAAAACTGAGCGTGACTCAGTAACTGTACAGCTTCCCGCAGTAGATTAAGGGGACTGAGTCAAACTGAGTATTACTGGTCTTTGGCTGATTCAGTTCTATCTCAGGTTTGTTTAGTTAGCGTCGGGTGAACTGATAGTTTGCTGATGTAAACTGATTCGCTGTCAGCTCCAAGTCGGCTCGAGGCGCTCCAAGTTTGCCTATTTTCAGCTCGTTCAGTCGTAGGTCATGCACGTCAGCTAAGATCAGTCCCCGGTCGGATGAGTCAGTTTACTGCGGTCTCGGGTCAGTTCTATCTTCCACCCGGTAGAAGAACACCAATATTTGGCGTTCTTTGGAGGACGCTAATATTTTGGCGTTAAAAGATGCCCACCAGTCTACAGTGTTGCTGTTGTCTTTTAAAGCAAAAATATTGGCGTGCGCTGACGAATGCCAAATATTGGCTTTAAAATACGCCAAATGCCCGGACAAAGCCAAACTTTGGCGTTCAAAGACACCAATATTTGGCGTTCAAAGACCCCAATAGTTGGCGTTCGAAGACACCAATAGTTGGCGTTCAAGGACCCCAATAGTTGGCGTTCAAAGACACCAATAGTTATCCTTCTTTGGAGGACGCCAATAATTTGGCGTTAAAAGACACCAACCATATTCGGTTGGCGTCTTTCACAGCAAATATACGTGGGTTGGAAGCTGTGCAAAGTTTCTAGGAAAAACGTAAAATTTCCCAGCCTCGGAAATTTTGAAAGTAAAGGTATTGTGACATAAGCACATAGAACACACTCTGTTAAAAACCGTTTTCGGTAGTCATGTGAAGTGTTATTGCTATATGTTGTGCTGCTTTGAACCTGGTGTCAAAAAGCAGCATCTAAACCTCTTCATACTTGTCGTGTCACACGTATACACGCATTTTAAACACAGCAATAAGTTGCCTAAGGCAACTGATACTGTTTCACTGGTCTTCCTGACAAAGCGTCTTTTGGAATATGATGATGTCACCTTTATTCAATTAAATTTACTCGATCGGGCCGCAGCAATTTAAGTGTTACATTTGTACACAGCTACAGTTCTGGTGTAGCTTATGCTTCGCAATTATGAAGAATTTAATTGCAAAATTTAATTGCAAAATTTAATTTCAAAATTTACTTGCAAAATTTAATTGCAAAATTTAATTGCAACATTTAATTGCAAAATTTAATTGCAAAATTTAATTGCAAAATTGCACAGCAGGATTTGAGCTGTAACCTACAGTTCAACACCTGAATTCAAGTGCTCGAATTTGTCGCGCGAGTACTTGAGAGGGTGTTTTACAATCGATGAACAATGTACTTCAGATCAATGTTTGAGATCATGAATTCAAGTCACTGTCACTGTAAAGAGCGCAATAGAACTATGTTGCCCCCTAAAAGACGGCAATTTTACGATTTCTATCCTTGCAATACTAGGTTTTGTAACATTCCTTCATACTATACCCCAAAATTTCAAAATATATCAAAAATTTTCAAAATTTCCGGAAACTTTCAGTTTGTTTCCACTTTTTCGGAAACTTTCCGCAACTTTGAAAATTGAAATTTCCCAACCCTTGAATATACTAAATCTTTTAACCGTGTGCAATGGCATTGACTTACATTTTTTAGTTATGCAAAATAAGTCTGCAAGTCACTGTTAAAAATTCCATAGGCTAATTACGGAATTCTTACGGAACCCACCGTAAATTCCAAATACGGTACCAAACCGTAACGGGATGACGATGACTGTAATTTAAAGATACGGACTTGTCCGTATTTCAAATAACCGTGCGTCCCGTACATTTTCCCCGTCAAATTAAATATTAAATAATTTTTGAAACAAATAGTTTAAACAATTGAGCTGTCCATAGAGATTTATGTTATTGCCTCTTTCGCAAAACCATAACTTTACGCTCTCGTATCTCTCAAAATGCAATTCTTCGACTTGCAGTGCAATTTATCATTTTTCCCAGTCAATAAGTCAAAATTTTACGAAAAAGCTTACGGTTATCCGTAACTTAAGAATACGGTTTTTCCGTATGGTTTCCGTAGAAAATACGGAAAAATTATTGTACATTCCGTGAAAAAAATTTCTTGACAATTCCGTTCAAAATTCCGTGGAAATTTTTAACAGTGGTCAACTGATGTTCTAGCCAGTAATACTTGCCTCTGCCTTGAACACGCTCTTAATGAGAGCGTTTAGAAGGGTACTGATGGCGTAATAAACGCCAACGCTAATGCCGTACGAGATAACCAAAAGTCCGAATCCTGGCGTTCGCATCATTCGTCGCATTGACTGGAGGAGTTCCCAATTTGACGAGCGATCCGTGCGAGACGATAAGACACGCGCCTGGGCTATGCTTGGCGGTACCAGTGGAGCGTCCTGGAACACTGAGTATGTATGCCACAATTCACTCAAAACTGCTAAACGTCCGTCTCTGCTTAAGCAATGACGTCCTGATAACGTGATATATTCGTTTTGATACACTGCGCCAGGTACTGCGAGGTCAGTGGAAGGACTGAAGGTCTTCACCGGGAAAAACCAATATAGGAATCAATATCCTTCTCGGGGTGTTAATGACTCTCGTTCCTTTACAGAGGCAGGAAAAGATTCACACCCCTGGAAAGGCACCAAACTGCCCCAACGGTGCTGAATTTTAGTGCCTGCCTTTGGATATTCTGGTGCTTTTCTAAGGTCATTAAAATTTAGGGACAAAGTCCTATCTTCTTTTTTCCAGTGTTAGCTAGTTTTACCCTGTACAGTTAGCAAGAAGGGGGAGAAGGGGCATGTGAGGAACACCGTCGATCGAACCCGCCTCAAAACCCAACAATATCGATGAAGTGTAAGGGAGGGTGGGGCAGTGAATAACGGATTTTGGAATTTGGATATAAAAGTCCAACCATGAAAAAAAATTGGGTAAATCGGGCGCAAAAGAATAGATTGGATTGGACCTTCACTAAACATGAAAGTTTCTCGGATGTATTACTAGGCGCATTCCCGTATGACCCACAGCTTGTTGAACAAAAGCCCGCATTTGTTACACAGTGCCCCGGCTTGGGGCAGTGTGTAACGACAGTGGGGCAGTGTGTTCCAAAGGCTAGGATTGAGCTCTGGAGACAGCTAGAAAGAGAGAAAACAGCTTCCCCTTCCTTTCTATATTAGCTGCTGATACAACAACAGCTTTTATCAACTAATTTTATTGTTTCAAATGGAATTTTCTCAAAATTCACGAGTTTTCAATAGACTATTCCGTCGGGAGCGCGGAGAAGACTCCACGGAAGAACAAAAGGGATCGCTATTGGCCCGCTCGGTGAATCACGGGCCCTTTTGTTCTTTCATAGTCTTCTCCGCGCTCCCGCCGGAATAGTCTATTGACTAGCCATATGTACGCCAGACCACGTCTCGCGTAACAGGCTTCGCGATAACTCACGAAACACTGTTACGCTGCGACGCGCCTGGCGCACATATAGCTAGGCCTGCGGCGCCGACACCCGAGACAAGTTAAAAGGAGTGTTTACGGAAATGGGGCCTTTCGGCCCCCAAATTTGCCGTGCTAACAGCATTTGTGGGGGACTTATGACTCTAAAATTAGGGAAATAACTTCTGATATTCGATAAAGATATTCATTAAAAGTTCTGATTTTGACAGATTGTTATGTAAATATCAACGTTTTAGTGATAGTGGATAATCTATGGCACCTAGACCCCAAAGGATGGTGTAGTTTGACGCTAAATGTGTGGTTAACAACTCCCTTCACAATTTTTTGGTATGAAGCCTTTTTTACGATTTCATAGACCATTTGGTCATTTTGACCGTATTTTCGTCAAGAAATGATCTCTATCACCCAAACGGTACAAGATAGAGCAAAAAGGGTAGGGATCTACTTTCACGAGTTTACCCTTTAGTAACGATCAAAAAAATATTCGATAAAAATTCATTTTGCGACCTGTGGTTTTTGATTTTTTTTAAAGTCAATTTTTTTAGCTAGGACGCTCATCTTTGAACTCGTAGGCTCAGAAATAGTGCTTATATACTATATTCAAAAACTAGACTCATATCTTGCACGGCTCCTCCGTGCTGACCAGCTGAAGATGAACAAAGAATTTTGTCGCACACATTTCACACGCGGTTTTTAGTTTAAAACGCGTAGCGCTCAATAAGGAGACGTCAAATTGGGACAGCACCAGTCGTATGTAAAGGAGGACCGTTTCACCTTTCATTTGACGCCCCAGAAGTTGAAATTGGTGAAAAACTATCGGATTTACGGTCGCCTAAAGCCTAAGGCTCAAATTTGTCCGAAATTAGGGCTCATGTCCGAAATATGGGCAACTGACTGTATGTTTCCCACCCGGACTTTCTGTTCTTCTGTTGATCTGGCAGAAAAGGGACGCATCTTTTAGCTCATTCACACTATGCTTAAATGTTTGGAAATATGGGGTCGTGTGTTATGTACGTAATACACTGATTCCATTCATCCGCAACGCTACGAAAAGCTGCAAAATTAGCTGTAAAACTTTATGACAATATCTTTTCTACTGAACGGCTCGCATTCCGCTGCTGGCTTCTTGTTTGTTATTCTATTTCATTCCTTTCTTGCGACACCGTGATTCACTAAAATACCCCATTGAAGAAGGAAAAATCGCTTACCGGCCAGAAGTAGTAGAAGAGAAAACGTAGAAACGCCGGCAACTCCATAGAACACAGTGCGCAGCTGGAAGCCAAGGTCGTCCATTGTCTCGTACCCACTCACGATAAGTGGAGGAACCAGAAAGCCGACTGCGTTACCCACCTTTATTTGGTTTAGACATGCAAATAACGAGTTAGCATCCTCCCCCCCATCGGAACTGGCCTATTTTAATCAACTACTGTTAAAAAAACCTACAGTAATTCGTACAGGACGGCCAATCAATTTTTGGCTTCGCTTCTAATCGAATCAAATCGAATCAATTTAGAAGCCTATGCTTTCACTCTTGGGCCGGACCAGACCGAACTCCCAGGCAAACGTATGTAAATGCTGCCAACCTGACAAACTTTTAAGTACTGTGTAATTAGTCATATATCAGGGTTAAATTGTAGGAATGATGTCATAAAACGTTATTTTAATTTAATTCTGTTATATTATTGTATAACCTGAGCGACTTTTGCTCTTGCATTCTCTGAACAAGAACTTTCGTTTTGCTGCTGTAATGTTGGTTAATGTCTCTCATCCAGCGGCAAATTTGCCGCAATTTAAATTAGTCAGGTGTTCAATGAAATGAACTGTGACAACTACAGTCGCAAGATTTTTGAATTGTGATCGCCAAAATCTGAACATTAACGTGATTACTGATTTCCTGTATTGAGTTAGGTTTTGTTAGTTTAGGTTTGCTTCATGTTATTTAAAAATCTGTAATAACATAGATTTCTGATTTCCTGTATTGAGTTAGGTTTTGTTATTAGTTTAGGTTTGCTTCATTTTTATTTTACTTATTTGTAATGTTTTCTTGGGCATGGCTGTTTATAATTTGTCTGTACTAGTTATGTTCCTATTCACACACGTCCCACACGTAACATGTACCTCCATACTACATAGTTTAAAACTTTTCGGTATACTGAATATTCAAAAATTGTCCATTGTCGATTGTTTACACCAAATTGGCGAAGCCTTCGAATCGGTCCGATTCTCGCTAGTTATATTGGCCTGACAGTATTTAATTTTACAGTCAGACTGTTTTTAATATTACAGTCCGATCTGTCACCGCCTGTAACAGTCTGCACTGTATTGCAGAATACGGTCAGACTGTATTCAAATGTACAGTCTGACCTGTTACAATCTGGACTGTAAAATTAAAGTTTAGTCGGACTGTAATCTTAGACCTAGTGGGTGGAAATTTTGTAGATTTTGTCTTCTATAACGGCCTCTTGCGGTTTTTATGTTACAGTCTGGACCGTAAATTAAAATACAGGCCGGACTGTATTCTGAACTACAGTCCAGACTGTAACAGTTAGACTGTAAAAATAACAAGCAGGCCCGCCCTTTCGCCAAACGAAGTTCCGCTTCGCTCCGGCGGCAACTCCGTCTGTTAAAAAAATACGCTAATTCTACCCTGTCATAGGTATTACTAACCAAAAATAGTAGCACATACCAGTCAACCGGGGTCATTTAACAAGATTTTTAAAAGTAAAATCTAGGGATTTCATCCTACTGATTTACCTTTAGAGCAAGGGAGAAAAACATAACTTAAGAGAAATCTCCAGTTTTAGGTTAATATGCCTATTCATGACGTAAAGCTAGGGTGGAAGGTAGGGTAGCCCAGAAAAATCTCAAAATTTGCAGAGATTGCAACTCCGGTCAAAATCGAGTAGTAGATAAAAAATAAAAGCTTACATGTTTTTTCCTTTGGCTGTGAGATCACTTCAAACATCAGCTCAAAGCCCCTGAAGTTTAGACAGGGTCCTGAGGACAGTGCGCGTGGTATTTCAACACGAAGTTTCGCGCCGATTTCAACGAGACGCATCACCTTATTCGTCTTTTTGTGACGAGAAACAATATGTGTCTATGCGGACTGTACATGCTACGGTTCAGATTTTATCGCGTGTTTACTTTAATCGATATCTAGAAAAGTGCAATTTTGTCTGTCTTTAGGCCCTGAGCGATCCTAAGCCGAGAGCTAGTTCTGAAGTTACTTGCCTTTGTACCTGCCAAGATTCTTGGACCCCAACACGTCTATTTAAGTGGATTGCCTACCGCCCAGGCGCACGCGAAATTCCGTCGAATTCGACACAGACTGGAGTTGGAGTGACAAAGCAGTACCTGGTTGCCGAACACGCCGATAGCACAAGCTGTAGCAACCTCTCCGGGACCGAACCACACGGCGGCCAGGCGCGAGGGCACGGCCAGTATGAAGGCCTGTGTGATGCCAGCCAGCGTCTGTCCAGCCATGGTGACGGCGTACAGGTCCCTCTGCCCCGAAGCAGCTTTCACCCAGGAGGCCAGGCAGTTTAACGCGCCGGCCAGAAGTACGGTACAGCGAAGACCCTAACAAGCCAACACACAGTTCAGGAGGCATAAACACGTGGATTACATTTAAAGAAAATAGGCTGGTTAAAGGTCCGCAGGCCTTAAGGGGGCATCCTAGTGTAGCAGGCCTAAAAATACGTGTGTTTTTTTGCGATTTTTTAAAAAAGAAATGGAAGCAACAGAGGGAAAACTAGGTTTGCTACATAAAAGTACACATCTTTCTCTGTCCAAAACTGCTAAAAAGTTGACCAACGCCTCACGCATACCGGAGAAACGGCCTGCGAGAAAACACGCGTCGCGAATGTCGTGGACGCATGGCGTGCACGATATTTACCCTCCAAATGGTCCAATCGGGCCAAATCGGGTGTCTGCGTGTTCTTTACACTTGCCGCTATGGCATGAACCTCCAACTTTTAAAACAAATGATTATTACTATTTTTTTGATCACACTAAACTTTTAGTTTCAAAACATTAGGTAAAATTTCAACTTTACGATTTTTTTTGACAAGGTTCTAGTTGACCGAGGCCAAAACTGGAGGTTCATGCCATAGCTTCACTATCTGAGAGCACTCAGAAAAAAATTGAGCTCGATCGGACAATTCGTTCGGCAGTTATCGTGCACGCCACGCGTCCACGACATTTCGCAGGCCGTTTCTCCGGTATGCGTGAGGCGTTGGTCAACCTTTTTAGCAGTTTTGGACACAGAAAGATGTGTACTTTTGTGTAGCAAACCTAGTTTTCCCTCTGTTGCTTCCATTTCTTTTTTTTTTTTAATCGCAAAAAAAAAACACGTATTTTTAGGCCTGCTACACTAGGATGCCCACTTAAGCACTGGTCCGCTGCGATGGCAGCGGATATACCATTCCGGTAAGCCGCGATAGAAAAAGAGTCAGAAGAAGCAAAGGTTCCTTTAAGCCGTTTATCGGACCTTTTTGCACAGCATTTTCCAACTCGTACACGTAAAAAATATTTCTATAGAACATGTGATATTATAAGACAGCAAATCATTAACAAAACAACCCAATAAGCCGCTAAAGAAACCTTTGCTTTTTCTTTACTCCTCTATCGCGGCTTATCAGATCAGAGACGAGCGTGTTTGTGGCCACAACTTTGCGGCCACAGCGCGCCCCCCGAAAATCAGCTTATACTGGACCGGCAACAGGTATCGAGGCCGTAAGGAGGCCAGCCAAAACGCGCGACAGTGATGCCACGACCTGTCTTATGACCCAGCGGCCCCCAAGGAGGCCCGAGAGGTGTCCCCACGACCATACGACCGCGTCCCCCAGGTTGCCTACTGCACACGGGTCCAGCCACAACTCCCTGCAATTGCCCCAACGCCAAAATATCAACATGTATCTATGTAGGTGGTCTGCGGCTGCGGCTGTACTCTCTATAGCCTACGGCCGTGGCCCCGGGGTTGCGTACTGTATAGGGGGCCAGCCACGATCCGTTTCGAACCTCCCAAGTTCAGCCTATGCCAGGTCTCATTGCGTCTGTTGGGTAGGAAACATCCTGCCTGCTGTGCAGGCGTGTACTGCCGGGTGGCCTACCCCGAGACTCGCAGGCGCCGAGCTCCCGTATTTTGTAGAAGGAATCCGAGAAAAACGGACGTACTTTCTGGACGATCCGTAAGAGGGTGGTCTGTGGCTGTACAGTGAGGGCTCGCTATAGTTCTGCTCTCTATAGTTCCGCCGGCGCTCCCTCCCCACCAGGCCTGGTTCCCCCACTCCAAGCGAGAAGCGGCCCCCCTCTCTTCCTCCTCCCCACGACCACCTTCCCCCCGGGGCTGCCAGCCGGCCAGCAGTGTGAGCGAGAGCGGTAGAGAAGGAGTGGGGGAAGACGCTCGCTATAGTTCCGCCTCTGGTGAACCCACTCACCCACTCCAATTCTGAACCCGAGGCGGAACTATAACGAGCGCCTACTGTACTCTAGTGCCTACGACCGCGCCTCCTGGGTTGCCTGCCGCACAAGGGGCCAACCACAACTCACCGCAACTGCCCCATCGCCAAAATGCCGACGTGTATCTATGTGAGTGGTCTGCGGCTGTACACTGCAGCGAGTTGTGGCTGGACCCCTGTGCAGTAGGCAACCCAGGGGCCACTCTAGTACAGTACAGCCACAGACCATCCACATAGAGACATGTCGGTATTCTGGTGACGGAGAAGTTGCGGCGAGTTAAGGCTAGACCCGTGTGCGGTAGGCAACCCGGGGGACGTGAACGTATGGTCGTCGGGACACCTCTCGGGACTCCTTGGGGGTTATAAGAGAGGTCGTGGCATCGTTGTGGCTGGCCTCCTTACGGGCTGGATACCTACAGGCGGTCCGGTATAAGCTGATTTTTGGGAGGCGCGTTGTGGCTGCAAAGTTGTGGCCCCAAACACGCTCGTTTACCAGAGTGGTCTATTAGCAGGTCCTGGTCTGCCCGCCACCAGCCGGTAGAAATGGAGAGCGCGACTCTGTGCATGCCTGGCTTTGCACCAATAAAGCGTTCCGGTAAAGCTGAAATGCAAAAGAGTGCATGGAACAAGAAAACGGAAGTCACCATGTTAAAGCATAGCAATTTCCGTTTACTTCTACCCCGCATTCTTCAGCATTTCTGCTTTACCGGAATGCTTTGTTGTTTCCTTGCCCAGGGTTGACACCAATGATACCTTAAGGTAGTACGAGCGTGGTGAAATTAAATGTGTCTGAAAAGGGAAACAAAAACCGGCGGTACTTTGAAAAATTCCACACCGACTGGTTACAAATTATTCTGGGGTTACCGATACTATAAGAAAGATTTCGTTGATTGAAATTCCTCCGATTTTACCCGGAGTCTTATGGGAGAGAGTGTCTTGGTCACGGGCAATTCGAAAATTAATTAAGAAAGAAATGTGAGTATTTCCGCAAACTGGTTGAAATAGATACATTATTAAATTATGAATGCAATGACACATTGATAACACCACCTTGCCGTTCATCTTAAAAAGATATTTAGAGTTATAAGTTGATATTTTATTCACAGTCGAAATGGCGCCGACGTTAACCTCGAAATTTTTCATACGGCCACTGACGGCGTTACCCGTGTTGTTATTTTATGTTTATTGTATTTAACTTTTGGACACGTGACGTTTATTCTGTGCATACTCATGCGATTCTGCTGCGATAATCGCGCCATTGTAGTGAAGGAAAATGAACGACATTGGTCTGTATTTTGTTATATGACGTTGAATGTGGACAGAGAGGTTAGGGGCCGGCCTCGTCGTCTGCCTCGTTCGTCCAAAGTCAAACTATTTTAAATTTGCACACATATTTCTCAAATGTGTCAGGAGAAGATGCGAATCAACTTAATTTAAATACATACAATTTTAGCAACGGTTTAAACTTATTTAAAATTGTCTAGAAAGTTGCTGCAAGTTTAGTCTCTAGGCTGACTAGACTGAAGCGCTCGTACCACCTTAACCATTTCAGACCACTAGCTTCAGGGGACAGCCACCCGGGCCAAAATGCAACCGGTTGTTTTGGACCATGTCGGCCTGTTGCATGTTGGAGCCACGTCTAGGTAACAGCCCAACAATGAACAATGAACACCTCGCTCGAGAAGTACGCTCCTGGCACGCCTTCAGCCCCCGCGAAAAATTATAAAACTAACTGTTCAAATACACATAAACACCACGCTCAAAGGCGCATCAAATTTCCTAACCGTAGGTTAATTTTGCAGTAAACAATTATTGTTAACGTATTTTTCTTATCAATGCATATCCTTTGACCTCCAAACTACTTTCGAAAAGAAATACTTTTGAGAGCTAGTTCTCGGTTGTATCTGACACGTACCTTGTTGTCGAGCATCCACGAGGCGGGAAGAATGAACGGAATGTACGTCAGCATGTAAATCATGGAAGCCCAGTCGACCGCCTGTGGTGAGACGTCGTAAAACTTAGCAACCGAGTCTGAAATGATGGCGTACTGCACCCACTGCATTCCGTTCATAAGCGATAGCAAACAGAACGAACCCAAGACGAGCCATCGCCGAGTGTACACCTGAAAATCAGAAAAAAAATAATAGGTTAAGACCGTTGTAAACTTACAATAAATTTATACGCCAGGCCACTTCTCGCGTAACGAGCTTCGCGATATCTCACAAAACACTGTTACGCAGCGCCCGGCGCATCTATAAATGGGCCTGCGGCGCTGAAACCTAGCGCGTCGTAGCGGAACAGTTTTCATCCCGCTCTTCTGCGTTGTAAAAGCTATATAAGCAGGCTTATGCCATCGTCCCTGTGTCTGTCCGTGTGTCCGTCTGTCCGTTCCCCAAGAAGGACGTTAGCTAGATGTCTGAATTTCTTAGGATATCATTGGTGTCACTCCTGGGCAACGAAAAGGTTGGTGCAAATCCTGTTCACCATCCCTTTGGGCTGTTTCCCGAAATCACAAGAGCTTTTAAACCCGTATTTTCTCATGCTAGGAGACGAGCTATCAACCTACATAAAGCGGGCCGTTTTTCCGCCTGACTTTTAACTTTACATTCGTTTTTGCCACACTTTGATACGACTTCTGGTTTTTGAGAACGAAGCTCATATCTACGCGCATGTCGGGCCGGCTGCGCGGCCCGGGCGGGCGCGACCCATAGCGGCCCATAGCGTCCAGCCGCAGACGGCTGCGGCTCGGCCCGGAAAACAGCCCATTTTGCCAAACGGCCCTGATCGAGTACAAAGGCCTTCAATCACCCGGGAGAAACGGATTCGCTGAGAAATTCGCTGACGACGCGTAATCCGAAGGGTATTTCGCATCTGTGGGCATTTGCAATAGAGTAACGAGGGTTTGTTCTGGAGCGCCCGGGGTCGTCTCAGGTACTAGCGGAATCTCGCGCGGAGGACGCTGAGAGTCCCGTCTTCGCTGAGAG